GATATCCAACTGGCTAATACTTGATAATGCAAAAAAATCAAGGTCTTACAACCAGCCAGTATAAGAATGAGGGGTCAGACATGAAAGGCATATTGCTCTTCCCACCCCCCTCAAAAAAAAAAAACAGACACAAAAACAAAAAATCACCAACACACTAGTTCGTTATATCCTTAACACTGTGGAAGAGACCTCACTTTTTGAGTTACTATCCATTCAGGTGTCTGCCCTGTGTTCCTAAATTACGAGAAAATTTCCTTTGAAGAACAACTAATACTTGCTCAACTAGGTAATTGGAAATGAGAAGCCCTAAGAGTTAAATCTCACTTCAGCTACACTACAATCTTGGATAAGTTAATCATGTTTCCTAAAATGTAAAAAATGGGGATAATACCACATACTTCATGGAGTCCTTTAGAGAAAATCAGGAAATACAGGTGTGACATAGAATATCTAGTAAATAAATATCAGGCACTCAGAAAAGAAGGTGGCACACAAATAGGTTGATGATGGAAATATACTGGTGCAAAAAAGTAAAAATAATGGAAACAGGTATACTTTCTATAAGTATATAAAACCAAGGCCTTGACAATACTATCTCTAGGTAGGTAGATTGTTTTATTGGTTTTCAGATTGTTTCATAATTGTGTTGTTCTTGTAATACAAAAACAAAACTACAGGAAAAGTACACTACTTTTAAAATTTGTTAGTTAATTATTTTCACTTAGTTAAATCATTTTTATATGTACATTTAAAGTTTACATTTTCATAATAATCACACTTTAAAACATGTAAAACTAAAAATTATCTTTAAAATATCTAGAATGGTATGTTTTTAACTGTTCCTATTATTAAGAGAACCACCACCTTTCCGCAATTACTATCTTCACAAAGAAATCAACAATAAATATATTAACTTAAAAAAGTCAGTACTCTCTCAGAGAACAACTTCTTTACTGCAACTCCATTAGTCATCATCACTGGTGATAATAAACCAATTTACTTATTATCAAACTGCATTTTAATGTTGTATTAACCTAAGCTTAATAAGAAAATTTTGGAAATATTGTACTTTAAATTTGGTTTTGTAGTCAATTACATAGTCAAAGAAATCACAGCTCTAAAAATAATTAGTTCTATCTTCCTAATATTTCATTCAACCTTCTTAGAAATTACATATTCCCTTGGAACACAAGGGAAACTTTCCTATACATGAGCTAGAAATTGAGTGACTTTCAACTTATATTTAAAACTGTATCTCGTCTATGGCTATGCAAGTTGCCACGCTATTAGTAAGTTTAATATCAGATACATCAGTTAAAAAGCATTTTACTGACCCCAAATGGGAACTTTCTGGGGGTGGTAATGGAAATGTTCTAAAATAAGATTGTGGTAATGGTTACACAACTCTGTAAAACACTAACAATCATAGACGGTAAAATCTATCTCACAGCTTTTTTTTAAAAAGGCACCTTAAATGGCTATTAGCAACCAATGAATAAACCCTAAAATGACACACTCCAGGTAGAAAAGGTTATAAAAGCATATTTTTATACAAAATGGCATCCCTTACCATGTGCTTAATTAACATATCTCCCATTCCCTCCAATCCCCATATTTGTACATGGCTGCAAACATGAACATTATCAAGCTATAGATCCACTGTTAAGTTATAAGAAGCAAGATACAGAGCATGTTATCTATTTGTGTAAGTATTTTTTTAAAAAGACTACCCTAATTTTTGGTCAAATCTTCAGCATTTCAGTGGTTCCAATTACTTTGTGAAATGAAGTTTCAGTTCCAAAAGAAAACCTGTAATCAGGCATGTCTACAGAGCAATGCCTCAAGATATGATATTGGCTACTAAAATCATGACTGAAATTTTTCACTGGAAATTCACATTTAGAGTCAAGTATGCATCTGTGCATATGGAGGAAAAGGGAGAAAATGAGAAGGAAAAAATCAATCACCTGTGCATTGAAAAACACAAGTGAAATTAAAAAATACACCAAAATGTTAACACCTCAAAGCAATTTCTGACAGTTTCCAAAATTCCCTCACTGATCATATATTATTTAAATTAGAAAAAATTACTTAACACTAAATAAAAGAAGGAAGACTCAAAATGCTACCATGCACATGATTCTACACAAAGGACATTCTGAAAAATGCAGAACTTTGGGAACAAAAAATACCCTAGGGTTTGATTGGGGGTAAGGAGAGAGGTTGATGACTTCAAAGGAACATAAGGGAAATTTGGGGGATGGTGGAACTATTCTGTATCTCTGCATCTTGTTGGTAGCAATTACACAATTGCAAGCATTTACCAAAGCTTATATAATTGTGTATCAAAAAAAGTGAAATTTTACTATATGCAAATTAATCTCAATTCAGATACTTAAAAAAATCATTTGTGTGGTAAACAATTTTTTCCAAGTGGGCAACTTCATGGGATTAAAAAGAAAAAAAATCAGTGACCCTGAGCTCTTTCGAACCCCTGATTTTAAACAAAACAGACCCAGACAGGTTTGTTCAAGGTCCACTGCTTAATAATGGTAAACTTTAGTACAGGCCTAAAATTCCCAGTTCTTTAACTTCAAATCCAGGGCTTCTTCCACTTCACCATTCCCATTCTTCCAGAGTTCTGAAGACCACAGTTTCTATAAAGTACATGTGCAAGTCGATTATGGTCAGTCATAAATTCCCAATGTTCAAGTGTAATTATTTTAATACATAAAAAGTGGCTAGAGGTCCTTCCCAACCTTTGCCAAAGAACCACCTTATTTTGTCCGGCAACACTGAGTCAAAGACGCAGTACAGTCAGGCAGATTTGTAGAGTACGGCTAGGAATCAACAATAGTACTTTAAAATTCCAAAATAGAGACATTTGACTTATTGTGACTTGATTTAAAAAGTGCTAGGAAACCAATGAAGACCGTAAAGTCTTCACTAAAACTTCCAATGATGATCTTAAGCAAGTTTTTTAAAAAAAAGAAATGAAACCCTGGTTTGGTAGTTCAGTTGGTTGGAGTAAGGTACAGATACATCAAGATTATGGGTTCGATCCCCAGTCAGGGCATATTCAAGAAGCAACCAATGAATGCATAAATAAGTGGAACTACAATCCATTTGTAGTGGATTACTACAAATCCATGTTTCTATCTCCCCCCTTACTAAGACTATCTTGTGTAGTAACCAATGTAACTAAGCTAAAAAGAAATGGTGTTCTACCACCCACATGCTGCAAAATAATTCCAGACAAAATAATCCTTTTCTATTTCTCAATATAACGAAAATAAACCCCACCCCCCCAAAACAAACAAACAAAAACCCTACATGCCATTACACAAGAAATGTATGGCCAAATACTGAGTTTTTTCCATGGGTCAGAGAGCACTGATGCAAAAAATAATGAACCTCATTTACCCTTGATAGGAAAGATATGGTAAGCCCATTCTTTGGGCACTGTGCCTCAACTCTGTCTGCAGTCATTCAGAAAGGGCACCCACTAAGTTCAATATTAGTCAAAGAACTATACACTCAAATTTTACTTAGGTCTTTTGACACCACGTTTTAAACCTAGACTGCTAATATAACCACCTCACGCATGAAGACTTCTTCCCATCAGTCAGGTATTTTTACCTTATGCTGACTACCTAAGGATATTTAGTTGTAAAAAACTTCAGGAGACTCTTTAGATGCCAACGGTGATTTCCCACTATGCTATTACCATGCGACAGCTAACCAAATCCACATATAGCTAAGCAGTACACTAGGAAAGAAAAAAAAAGCTGAAAATAGTAAATTTCGACCACCAACTAAAATAAAATCGTGGGACAAAAGGTACGCTGAAATGAACGTAGTGAGAATACACTCAGCGTATGCACAATACTCCTGCATCAGGAGAAGGCCCCTTCATAAAAATAGCCAGGACTCTCAAACATTTGAGATGCTGGCTTAGTAAGATTGACTGACAGACAACAGCTGGGGAGATTCTGTATTGATCTTGTTAACATCTTGACATACTTTGGGAGAGAGAATCGGGAGAAGAGCCGTTACAATGGCATAACTATAAGGATTTCTTTTTCAGTTATGTGACCCCTATACTGGAAGCCCCTGCTTAATTCCTTTACTGTCGAATTCCTCTTCTGTGTTACAGATCCCACCGTAATGAATCTCCTTTCTCCCGATGGAAACAAAAAACCTCGTGGGGACGGGGGATGTATAAAACTCGACACCTTCCAAAAAACACTGGGCAACTGATATAAAAAAAACTGGTCACCTCCCTACCTGTCTCCCTAATCCATTTCGCATTTTAAATCGTACTTAAAGACTGGAACTCGCGCATTTTCTTCCTTAATAGAGGAGGTCAGGCGCCGCCCAATTTCCCAGGCCGCAAAAAGATTATCAACCCGCCACATTTCAAGATTTTCTAGTTTTCTCTCTTCGAGCCTAACCCTCAAATAGGTACCCTTCAGACACTGAAGTTTATTTGCCAAAAACTCTAGTACGAGGGTGAATTCCTAAGATTCCGCGACGCGCCCCCCAAGGGAGTGGGGAGGGGTCGGAGCAGCCGGCCGCGGCGCTCCCGCTCGGCCCGTCTAAGGGGCGGGAGAGCTGTGACCACACAATCCCACCACCTCCTGAAAGACTACCCCACCTCGCGGCGCTCAGGCCTGCTCCCAGGGAACTAGCTCTCCGCCGCCCAGCAGCGACTCGGCTTCTCCTCACCGGCCGACCAAGGACCGCACTACCACCGAAGAAAAATGTTCATAAGTATGAAAATACAAGAGGTGTCCGACGTGTTGTTTCAAAACATAACGGGGCCCGGGCCCCCGGGACCGTTAAACCGCGGGTGGAGGGGGGAGAAGCAAGGAACCCAGCGGCCTTGAGCTTTGGTCTGGCTTCCCTTTTCGACTCCAAACTTCACTCTCCGGGGCCAGAAACCCTCCCCCCAACCTGCCCCGTGCGCCAGAAGACCCGACAAAGCGGCAAAAAGGTACCTTGTAGAAAGCCCCGTTGGAGCCGCGAACCTCCACCGTCAGCTCCGCCATGTTGGAACCGCAAAGGCCGCTGGGAAGAGATTCTAGAAACTTTCCAACCAGCGGGGAGGAGGGGGGAGGGGCGTGAAGGAGGCGGGGGAGGGGCAGGGAAGCAGGGCGGGGACTGGAACGCCCCGCCCCACACCCCGGGGGTCTCACCGCGCTGCACGGTGTCACTTGGTAGGCTCCCTCGGCTCCTTACCTCACGTACCCTGAGTTCCGCCCGCCGCCGCTCGCCGGTTCTCTCCTCGAAACAATCGCCCAACCTTTGTTGACTCGCTCCTACGTCCCCGCCCCCCTACTCCCGCAGGGTGCCCGCTGTAGCTGGTAAATTACTCCAGCCGCCCGGGAGTGAACTACCCAGACGGCCCCTACCCTTTTCATCTTTATTCCACTGCTCTTCCGCAACTTGCCTTAAAACTTTTGGAAGTGCTGGTAGTCCTGAAGTAGCTTCCTCACCTAGGGAAGAGTATCTGGGGTCTCCAAGTGTGCATTGACACAAACTTTTGAGGGAAAAAAGGAGCCTAAAAATGTGCATACTGTGTGTTTCCAATTCTTTAGCCTGGATCTTTAAAAAAAAAAAATACGTGGCCTTCTCGAGTCAAATGCCACAGTTCCACACCTCATACAGTTAGACTGAGCCTTCTCCCCACCTGTTAAGAGTTTTAGCTGTTTTAAACTTATTTTCGGTTCAACTTAGATGCGTTCACAGCCTGTAGCTGAATTTAAGTTAATACCCATTGTTGCAAGTAGGGAAACTTTTAATAGAGGAGGGACCACGTTTTCTGCCTGATGCAATGCTTGAGGATTTCCACAAGTAGAATCAAAACTGAATCAACTTGTTTGGCTTGACTATCAGAATCTACTTAAAAACTGTAAACACTATGAAGAAGATACTTTGAATATTTTAACAATACTAAAACTTTCCCAAAACAAGACCTTTAGAAATAATGCTGGGGCTCTTTTCCGTATGGGCTGTATTATCATTTTGAAAAAAAACTTTAAAGAAGGATGCTTTGCTGGCACTGTATTCTCTCAAGGAAACGCCCACAGGCCCAGTCTTTTCGGGGGTTCCTCAAAAAATGTATATAGCATTTGCTCCGCGCTTCCACATCGCCAAAGGCTCGGACAGAAAATGGCGGCTGCAAAGGTGCTCAGTATTGTATAGCCATGTACAGAATGTTTTTAAATGTTCATCATGTTTAGAAAACATAGACTAAACACCCTTCGATGATCTATTGCAAGCCAGTATTTAGTAAGGGCTTCATATATGCAACACATTATGTACAATCCTCTTATGAACTTTCAGAATTTTAATGTCCTACTTTGCTTTTTTTCCTCAACAGCCTTATTACCATACAATTGATCTGTTTAAGCTGTACAGTTCATTGGTTTTTTAGTACATTTACAGAGTGGTGCGATCATCACCTCAAACAACTTTAGAACATTTTCATCACTCCCAAAAAAAACCCTGTACCTGTTGGCAGTCACCCCCCTTTTCACTCCAAATCCAGGCCCTAAACAACCACTAATTTATGTTCTGACTGTAGATTTGCCTAATCCAGACCTTTCATACAAATGGAATGATACAATATGTCGTCTTTTATGACTAGCTTCTTTCAGTTAACATAATGTTTTCAAGGTTCATTCATTTGCTGACAAGGTTCAGCCTGTATTGTCACTAATTCTTTTTTGCTTGATTTTTATTGTTAACATTATTACAAATGTGCCCATTTCCTGCCCCCTTTGCCCACCACCCCTCAGCTCCCACTCCCCCTTCCCTCTGGCCATCACCACACTGTCGTCTATTTCTGTGAGTTATGTATTTATTTCTTTGGCTAATCCCTTCACTTCTTTCTACTCATTCTTTTTTCATTGTTAAATATACCATTGTATGAATATGCCACATCATTTTGTTTGATAGACAGTTGGGTCATTTCCACTTTTTTGGCTGTTAGGAATAATGCTGCTATGAAGAATCCTGTACAAGTTATGGACATGGCAATGAATTCACAGAAATGCCTCAGGATATTTTACATTTTTGAGATTAACACAGTGATAGTTGATATCTGTCACACATTTTGCACACTGCTGTCTCAAGTTAGTTCATAGTTTTAATATTAGATTATGCTACATTATATCTGATGATTCCATATCTTTGCAAGCATTGATTTTCAGCAATTGATGTAATAAAAGCAAAAATCAATGTGTGATTCCAGGAGAGTTATGTAGTGACCAATGAGTATGCACATCCCATTAGTAAGGAATTGGATTACTTAAGAATGAAATTAAAATATTTTTCTGATAATTTACATTTATTAATTTTTCACATGTCTATTAAAATGTTAGGACATAAATGTCCTAACTTAATAAATGGAATCATTAGGTATTTGTTTGGGCAATGTACTGAGTATTGAGATACTAAGGATGCTATAAATCAAGAAAGTTTGGAAACCTCTGGAGTAGAAGTAGATCTATATGTAAAAATACAGAAAATGGCAGCATAGGCAGACATGGCTCACCTCTTCGCACAACCACATCAAAATTATAGCTAAAATATAGAACAACCATCACTCAGAAATTCAAAAATCAAGTTGAATGAAAGTCTGACAACTATGGAATTAAACCACATCTATTAAGACGGTAGGAGGGGTGCAGATACGGAACAGGGTGGTCTCTCACCCACATGTAGTGAATAAATATTCAGGAGGGGTATCTCAGGAGCAAGAACACCCAGCCCCACACCAGGCCCCCCAGACCAGGTTTCCAATGCCAGGAAGATAAGTCCCCACAGCTTCTGGCTGCCACCAGGAGGAATTGAGTCAGTGGAAGAAACTTCTGGAGCTCCAAGCAGTTCCTCTTAAAAAACACACACATGCTCACAGAGTCCCAAAGAAGTTGGACCCAAGAAGAAACACACCAAGGCACATCATCATTACATTAGCCAAGATTAAAATGAAGGAGGGAATCCTAGAAGCAGGAAGAGATAAGGGGACAGTCACCTACAAAGGAGTTCCCATCAGACTGTCAGCTGATTTCTCAAAATAGACCTTACAGGCAAGAAGGGGCTGGAAAGAGGTATTCCAAGTCATGAAATCCAAAGACCTACAACCAAGATTGCTCTATCCAACAAAACTTTCATTTAGAATGGAAGGACAGATAAAGTGCTTCTCAGATAAGATCAAATTCAAGGAGTTCATCATCACCAAGCCCTTATTATATGAAATGTTAAAGGGACTTATCTAAGAAAAAGATAAAAAAACATGAACAGTGAAAGGACAGCAAACTCACAGTTATCAACAACCACACCTAAAACAAAAGCAAATTAAGAAGACAGCTAGATCAGGAGTGAACCATAGAAATGAAGATCACGTGGAGGGTTACCAACAGGGGAGTGGGAGGAGGAGAAGGGGGAGAAGGTATAGAAAATAAGTAGCATAGACAGTAGATAGAAAATAGATGGGGGGGCAAGAATAGTATAGGAAATATAAAATCTAAAGAACTTGAGACACATGGTCATAAACTAAAGGGGGGGTAATGGTGGGGACGGGGGAGTTGGGTGGAGGGGAATGAAGGGGGGAATAGAACAACTGTAATGCCATAATCAATAAAAAAAACCAAATTAAAAAAACCACACACACGGACTCACTCACTCGGACTCACACATAACTCCAACACCAAGTGGCAGCTTGAAGGGCACAAGTGGCATATTGGGAGAGGCTGAAGTGTATGGCATCAGGGCAAGCAGAGGCCATTGTCCCTTTTCTGAGCTCTCCCCCTGCAAAGCCACAGAGCTGTCAGACTGGTGCCATATTTGAGACTCCATCAACCTGGAAAACTGTTTGACCCACCTTAGTGATCCCCAGAGACTCTGACCTACCCAACTCACAGGCCCACCCAAGCTGCTTTTCCAATATGAATAACTGGTCTTGGCCCATGGTTCACAGCTTCCTGAATCCTATCAAACAGGCAACACAACAGCTGGCCTCAGTGAGCTCCAGGCTGGGCACTAGCAGCAGCCAGATTAGTTTCAGCTTGGCTTTGCCAGGGAATCTCCAAGCCCAGTGCAAGTAGCAGCCTTCTCAGATTGCTTTATAGCTCAAGAAGGGCAGCCCCGGACAAAACACAGGTGGGGGCTGACCTTGTCCTGTATCACCCAGGAAACCCCAGGGCCAGCCTGCCCAGTGGACAACTACAGACCACTTTGGAGCACCACCACTTTACCCCCCTGCACAGCTGATGCTCCAAGGAGGGTGGAGGTTGGTGGTAGGTGGTCATAGCCAATCTTTGCAGCTGACTGGCCTTGGTAAATCCCTCCCATTGACCTGCCAATAGCAACCAAGAGTCAAATACGAGAGGAGGGTGTACTTAACCCACATGAAGGGTGCACCTCAAATACCTAGCTTAGGTGATGGGGAGGTTGTGCCACTGGGCCCTACAGGACACATACTACATTAGAGCATACTGTAAAGACATGGAGTCAAAGCAGCTCTACCTAATATGTAGAAATATACACAGACAGGCTGCCAAAATGAGACAAAGAAGCACGGCCTAAAGGGAAGAACAGATCAACTCCAGAAAAAGAGCTAAACAAAATGGAAATAAGCAATCTATCAGACGCAGAGTTCAAAACACTGTGAGGATGCTCAAGGAACTTACTAAGGACCTCAGACCTCAGCAGCATAAAAAAGATCCAGTGAGAAACAAAGGATTCACTAATTGAAATAAAGAACAATTTACAGGGAAGCAACAGTAGAGCGGATGAAGTTGAGAATCAAATAAATAATTTGGAACATAAGGAAGCAAACAAACAATCAGAACAAGAAGAAAAAAGAACCAAAAAAATAAGAGGAGTATAAGCAACCTGTGGGACAACATCAAGAGGTCCAACATTTGTATTGTAGGGGTGCCAGAAGGAGAAGAGAAAGAGCAAGAGATTGGAAATCTATTTTAAAAAAATAAAGAAAAGAGCCCTAATTTGGCAAAGGAAATAGACATGCAAGTCTTTGATTGAAAGCACAGAGAGTCCCAATCAAATTG